ACAACGACTGCTCAGCAGATGTTCGTATCGATCGCCCAGTGCGGATGAGTCAGCAAGGAGTCGCGCGTGGGCGGCATGGGCCACCCAAATCTAAGCCACCTATCTAAACTTCCTTTCAGTGGTGGCTTGGTCAGGGATACTTGGACTTGACACTCCCGATTGGTGCGTCCCTCGACCTGTAGCGACAATGATTAAGGTGATAGCATCGCAATCTCAACTTTCTATGCACCAACTAGGAAAGGGGGATGAAACAAGTGTAGCCAAATAGTTTCCGGGATTGCTAATAACACACTTACCAAAATACAGTCTTTTACCAAAATATGTTTAAATAAGAACAATATTCTGGTGTTGTCTACATAGAAAGAACATTCATTAGCGCCTAATTAACGGCATCATCATTCTATCATGGTCCAGTCTAGAATCCCTTGCAAAGGCAGCATCAATATTCATGATGCTTTTACAAGAATATATAGCAGGCTTATAATTTCTATCTTTTCTAAAAGTGTTTGCTTCAACGTAAAATCTTGAAATGATGATTTGATTGAGCTGCAAATGAAATGCCCTATTTACTTTGTACTACATCACACATATACATAAGGATTGTGGTAATTTTCGGCTACATTCACTTCAGTTAACGAGAATCAAATCGTTAAACATTATTTGCAAAAATAATTTTATAAGGGTTGTGAAAGTCATGAAAGTAATCTTCCATTCATCTACAGGCGGTAATGACATGCTACAGTTATAATAATTCATTAAAGACTCTTCTATAAATCATCTGACAGCAATTTCCTGAAGTCTTTAGACTAACTCCCCATTCTCATTTGAACTTCGTCATCCCAGCATAAAATGCTAAAGACAAATATCATGAGATGATGCAAAGTAGCCTCAAGTAAAGAGACAATGTCCATCCGAAAGTATTTGCTAACAACACAGCAGGCGACTTGTTAAAGCGGTCTAAACCAATTTAAAATATTAAACTTTCAAATTAGACAAACGAACTCTAGGTCCAGTCTAACAGTTATTTATCTAGAAAAAACTGGTATCACAT